GCCGCTTTGAGCAGTATACCATCAATATCACGGCGGGGGATACCAGAAATAGGCTTCACACATTGTACTCATGTGGGGAATCGAACCCGGGTCTTCAGCGTGGCGAGCGGATGCTGAACCATTACGCTATATCCCCATATGATAGTGTGAAAACTCCGAGGCTTGCCTTTTATCAAAGACTTGTGATATATTTGATATCAAAGGACGACAGGGTGAGATTCAGTCTATCATCCAATATTACACTAAATGTGTCGTCCAAGAGAAATTAAAAAGGAAACGTCACCTGTAACATGTTCATTTGAGGACTTGCGTATGAATACATCAAAGTAGACAAGTGTGATGGAAAAGGGAACGAGTGACAATATTACGTCATAAATACAAGCACATATAAAAGTTGTGCTAACACTAATTGCTTTAAATTCTGCAATGCATACGTTTCACCATTTCTTGTTGGCATTTTAAGTAGATTTTTATGTCGTGAATAAAAATAGCTCATTGCGGTGGCCATCTTTGTTCACAGCTAAGGGAGATGAAAGTAGTCCAAAAATATTGACCTCCTCTGGGAAACCAGTATTGGATGATAAACTTATATATCTAAAAAGGCGAAGGATGTTTGTATGTAATGTGGTACAAAAATATTGTACAAAATACAGTGTTATACGAGAATCCAAACAATGGAGAAAAAAACAGTTTTGTTACAGACAAAACCCACAGACGCCAAAACCTATTCCAGAAAACATTATTTTTTGTTTGTTCTACGAAATGGGTACTCGTTATAGATTTGTTAATCGATATGGTGACCCCTCTCAATTAAAACAATGATGGCTGAAGACAAAACATTTGGATGGGTCAGGACCTGTATTAAACACTTGCGCCTTTGAACCTTTTTGGATATTTTGATGTGCTAAGTTTGAAATGTGTTGGTAATCTGGCTACGACATGATACACGTTTCAACGATTTAATAATTTTAAAGAAGTGTTTCCATCTTTGCTGTACTTTCTGTCAGTTTCGCCAAAGTTGTAAGATTCTGAGAATAGTAGCATCTCAAGATTTTCTCCTAAAATAACCTGCCGTCATATAACAGGAATGCTGTTAAATTTGCTTTAAATACAAATCACTGAGTCTAAATGGTTACCTATACACCATTAACATCGCTGCTATTGTTTCATGATTCACATAATTGATTCCCTACCGTACTGAACAGATGTAATGCATCACGTTAATGAATAGTTGATTAGGGAGCATTAAGAGCATGAAGTGTTCATTCCAGATTTAATCTAACGTCATATTCACTGCCAATCACGTCAACTACCGCAGCAAATGCCATATTCCGTCGCTCTTGACTAACGTAGCGAAAGTTTACTTAATGCCACGATTACCGTTGATTAGCTGCATTCACGTCTTCAACTCCTTAAATTGACTTACTCGATGAAAGGTGATTGGCTTTAAACCATTTGGTCAAGAGAGCACAGATACTACATTCTATCCTCAATGATGAAGTCACAATTGGACATCCATTATGGATGGTTATAGTCGGGGGTAATAAGTTTCGTGGCTTACTTGACAATATTCAAATAGCTAGGTAAACGTTAAGGGTCAAAAGTTCTCAGGGTAAATGTCGAAACTATGTAAATAAAGAATTCCTGATCTTTATTCCTTGAAGTTCCAGAAGGGTAAAACAAATACGTTTCTATTAATGCTAAGGAAAAGATGGGTAAATTATAGAGACATTGGCCTCCTTGGTCCAGCCGAATATTACTGCTGGTTGTAATTGGATAAGTTTAACTTCTCGAGAAGCGTTTCTTTCTAACAATAATGGGAAGTGCGGTTGTAAATGGCTAGATTTGATTACAGAGCATTCCTGCACTGCTGAGACCAGGAACAGGCGAATTAAACACACATGGGGGTTAGACCGTCTGGAAACGTGGCCAAAATGACCGCGAAGGTTTCAATGAAATGTTGCCCCATCTGTGTGTGGTTCTGCGGACATTATTTAGGAAACTGGATTGGAATGTGTCACTTCTAGCAGAGAGAATAGAATAGCTGTAGCTTATCCCTGGTTCTAGTCACTCGACTTGTTTATGGAGGACCACGGCTCAACGTCACGATACATGATATATCTATACTGAAAAACAACCAACAAAAAGAACAAAAGAAATAATAACAAAATAACAAAAGAATAACCAAACAAACACGTTAGGGAATGTGAATATTGTTTTCATATGTAGTTCAGACTTTCTTTCTTTAAATGTGTACAGTATATCTACATTTGTGAAGATCCGTTACTTATTTGGCTCAGTATATTCAGGGTATCAGATAACTTACGGGTAATGAGTATCTGGTTTCCTGTATTTCATGGGTGGAGACAATTACATGCTGCTGACGTGGCGACCATATGTTCTGCGTGAATGATTGCACATGTGTCATGAAATGAAATTCAATAAAATATTTTATGTTTTGACGAACAAATATAACCTGGAGACGGATTTCATTGTGATACGTTTTTCATTTTTTATCAGTGAACCATTAACCACTGCCCTTTTATTGTGACTGTGATGGAAACGTAGTCGATAATAATCGATAATGCTCAACAAGTACCGTCAATTTAATGTATATTATGTGTATATTATAGTTCATAATTATAGTACCACAATTTATCCTCTTGTGGATGATTGTGGCAGTAAACCACATCGTCAAACTTTAAAGCATCGACAATAAAAAAAAAAGAAGAAAACAAACAAAACTTGAAAAAGACAAACACACACACACACACAGCCAAAAGAAAAACAAAATAATAAAAACCCAACAAAACTTTATAGCAACATCTTTTAACTGATTATCCCTGAGTAGTCAATAACGTCGTGTAATTCGTGATTCTGTAATCAGATCTATTAAATGGATATAGTTCAACACATTTCAATAAAACTTTAGCTGGCTTCACAACAGGAACATGGAGGACACCTGCAAAAATTAATGTAGCAACAAACCCTTTTCATCTCTGATCTTACAACAACACAGCGAGACCTGCATGGATCTGATTGAAAACCCAATCAGCCTCCCGTGGAGTCAGTTGTTGCTCGTGTTATAAAAGTTGGAATACACAAACATGCGGTGTTCGTTACACATCTGTCTCCGCTTCCCCTTGGGATCAGACACAATGTGTCATTTAATACTTAGACTTGCTTCATATGAATTCGACGGAGGTATAGAATGAGTCGTTCGCTTGGATGGTTATCTATCCGTTTTCTCATTACACGAACACAACACAGGCTAGAAACACTGCAACGCTGAAAATTAAACGTTACCAAACATACGGAATCTAAATTCTGAGTGGTGGCTTTCTTAAACTAATAATTACAAGCATCAAACTGGTACATGTTCCGGGTGGAGATCAACACGTTACCCAGATCCTCATTTACTTGTCTGTGGTGATGGAGGGATGGAGTAATGGAACTGTATCACCCAGTCGGAGGGCCCGTCATCTCACGTCAACGTCAACGCGCCATGTCATGGATTAACGTCACATCCACCCTGTGAATCGTTCATTTACAAAGAATTGCGAATTCAAGGTCCAAGTGAGTGACAGTTACCGTGTTGTATATGTCTATAGTGTTGGTAGAATATTTGAAATCGACATGTCATACTATTTTAGGACATTTGTCATGTACATAATGTAGTTCTGATAGATAGGTATATTCTTTGTTGAAAGCTGCTTCTTTGGAAATTTAGTTCATTACAAGATATGTACTCACTCATTAAGCTTACACGCTGTGATGTAATTGCATCGCTATTAAAAGCACCGTTAAACCCAACTCACCATATTACAATTGTGACTCTGGCACATATATGACGCTGACATCGACATTCGTAAGATATGAACTAACTATATCTGAACTAAGAACTAGCTGCAACATCCTTCTGTTTAAGAAATTGTTTAATATTTTGTTTGATGACCATCTTTTAATCCACCATCACACTTAAATATTTAATTCGACACGGATACACTGCAGTGCGGAAATGAGAAGCGACGAGGCTCTACGTTAGCTCTTTGACGTACATCCTGCTCCCACTGGCGTTCATTTAGGAATTGATCCAATAAGCTATCGTTGTTGACATTTTTTCATCCATACCTATTACTCCTTTGCTCTTTCATTTATAAAGTAAACTCGACGATTATCACATCACAGTTCGCGCTGACATAATTTGATTAATTAGGATACTCATTAATTAAGCGGTCATGCGCTGACAAATTATACTTGCCAGGTTTCCACCTCGACACTAACTTCATGTCATGCAACAATTTACACCAACGCGATTACAGCATTTTTTGGTCTGTATGTGTATGTGTGTGTTTGTGTATGTTTATATGTATGTGTATGTGTAAATACTATGTGTATGTGCATGTTTATGTGTATGTGTGTATGTTTGTGTGTGTGTATGTTTGTGTGTGTGTATGTGTATGTGCATGTTTATGTGTATGTGCATGTTTGTGTGTATGTGTATGTTTATGTGTATGTGCATGTGTGTGCGTGTATGTATATGTTTATGTGCATGTCTGTATGTTTATGTGTGTGTGTGTATGTTTGTGTGTGTGTATGTTATGTGTATGTGAGTGTGTGTATGTTTATGTATATGTGTGTTTGTGTGTGCGTGTGCATGTATAGCAGGGTCAACGTGGCCATAGACTACCAACACTCTGCTGGGGTGTGAGGTTGTTTATTTCAAAGGATGAAAAATTGCTGAATGTTAAACGACACCCTGTAACAATAAACATAATAATATTATATACATCTCACACAATTCATACAAAATACATATAATTCCATACACGGGTTAATACATATGGACAATTATCAATAATACTCAAAGCATGAATACCATTATTTACAACACATATGGAATATGGGCATTATGAAATTACAGCATTACGAATAACGTAATGATGATACATGCATACAATGTAATACACAGAAGATAGATTATAATACACCATTACGCATTAGTCGTAATGATAAAGTACTCCCAGGCCTGTAGTTTTGTCACAGCTAACACCATTGACGCAGTTTCCGCACTGGGAGGCACAGTTGATACCACAGGAACCATCGGGACATGCTGCGCACACAAAGTAACTTAGACTGTGTATACATTATTGATCATAATATGTGAAGACAAACAAATCAATGTACCAACTCACGTTGCCGACATGACTTTGTGTCGTCATTCATCCATCCTGCTGCACATCCTCCAGGACAGGCCCCGCTTGTCTTTTCACAGATTACACCACCCAGACAGTTTCCACACACTGAGGCACAGTTGATACCAAAGAAACCATCTGGACATACTGCAAATACAAATAACAAGAAAACAATCTTCAGTGCAGCGGCACATGCTGCAAACATGATAAACATTCTGACATAAAAATATTATACTGGACAAAATAAGTTAGGGATATTGGTATTTTTATGATTGATATTTTATAAGTGTGTCAATGAATAAATGGATCATTATTCATTATTTCAAAATGTACATATATCCCTGACTATTTTTGTCCAGTATATGCCAATTTTGTATTTGCTGAAGATCATGATATTATGCTTCATCCGGGAGGCCATTGACATAATCAGTCCTGCTGTACCATAAGACTCGAGCACATGTAAATAACATGGTGGTACTAACAATTTACAAAAACAAGGTTCTTTCAACCTTTAGGCGGCAAGCTCCTCCACTGCACCATAAGATAACAATACGTTTATCGTCAGTGTTTAGTTTTGTATTGTGCCATTGTGGCCGTGAGACGCGTGTGTTTGAACATGAACCTTAAGTTGCTTAATTCACAAACTCATACAGAAATAGAAACATCCGCATAAAACGCATGTAAGCTGTTTATAAATTTTCACTTTAATGCTAACTATTTTCACGTCATACCTGTTTGGCAGTCGACACCATGGTATCCTGGGAAACATCCACTAGAACAGCGCCCAGTGATCTTGTCACATACATCATTACTCTTAAGGCAGCGGCACTGTTTGTCACAATCTTCAGAAAACCACCCACCACTGCAAACTGATTATTGTTTTGTTTACCATATTCAAATACAGTCATCATGTTAATAACGTACAAATGTGTCTTTCGGGATATCTTCTTGATAAATCTCAACTGCATTTTGATATAGCATTTGTTACGAACGTAACCCTTTTTTAACATGTTTGATACAAAGCTATCCTACTGTACATAACCTGGCCCAATTGGAAGCCGTTTTACACGAGAAATGGCTCAGACTGCCCCTTCAGAGGATCAGGAGGCTGACAGGGGGTATGAGGAGGAAAGTGCTGACTGGCATAATGTCACATGGAGGTTATATTCTGTATTATCTTACCTCACACATAAACGTCGCTTTCTGATTGGTTGAGCGCTCTTCTATTATTTTCAATGTACCCCGCTTACAAGCGAGTAACATTTTTGAATGTACCCCGCTGTCAATGGCAGCTCATTTTGTACTTCGTGGTAGTAATTCTTTATCTCGAATAACATTGAATCACGTAATCATGTACGGACATTACCGTTTTTTGCGAATGCAAATCGATTGAAGGGAGATAACTCTAAATCTGTTTTTCTTGTCAGCAAAATCTAACGATGGCTACAAAAAGATTTGTACCCGTGCTTCAAACAATTCAAAATTAACATTAAGGTGTTCCGTAAGATAAATACGTTGTTCACTGGTCCCTCGGGGCCCATTGGTTGGGAACATAAACAAACATCGAGGGTATATCAACCCATACCCCCCTCGTGACCAGTGAACAAGTTATATTGACCTTGAATTGACACGCAAAATGACATATTGAATGTTCACATTCTCCAATAAATTCAACATTCTTGTACAGACATGGTTTTGTATGAACAACAGTGTGGCGTTTTCTTAAAATATGAGCAATTATCATCATAAAATCAACATGGATTTCAATCATTTTGGAGTCAAAAGATCATACGGGTCACCACGAGAACTTTTATGCACGTGTTCAAAGCGTAAATATACGCAAAAATACAGAGGGTGCTTAAATGATTTCTTTGTGGATATATGGGATTACACTTTATCAGTAGATTGCAACTTCCAGTATATGTTCCAGGATTCGAAACCACACTCTCTTTATGACCCACCAAATCGCCAGCACATATAGCCAGTTGTCTTTCCAATAGTGGTTCCTTACACAATTCTGTACTACAAAAACATGAAAACCTCTTTTGTTATAATTTCCATTGATGTGTGAATTTGTATAATTTGAAAAACACCAAGACCATTGTTTTGAAGAATAGAGAGCTCTATCAAAACATGAGAAAAGAAAGTATGACGGACAACTACTAACTTGGGTATATTCATATAAATACTAACTGAACCATTATCTAGACCAAGTAAGTATATGAACCATTATCATGGGCAAAACATGTAAAAGAGGTCTGTATACAGGCTAAAAGAGTAGTATATGGTGTTTTGAAATGCTCGTCACCACTTAAACCATTACCATTTCATACCTGACAACATTTGACAAAAGAGTTAAGGCTAGGTCTGATTTATGAGGCAGAGATATGGGGTGTAAAGTGTGAGTTGTGCACATAAATTGACACTGTACATATGATGTCCCGCACAAGCATACTTAGTGTAGAATCTACAACTGCAATCAAATGCTGTGGGACAGGTTAGACTTACTTACAACATAAGAACTGAATCAGGAAGTTTACTAAAGAAAGGAGAGAAGACAGAACCAGTACTATTTGCAAGGAAACACATTATTGATGGCGAATATCTTGTTACATCATGTTATTTTCAAGTGTAAAACATATGATGATGATGAATGATGAAACTTTAAATGGCATCCACTAACCTGTCTTTGTACATATATGGAACAATGTATTTCTAAAACAAACTGGTACCGAGAGGCTCTGACTCCGGGGTGTGCCATTATATCACTACAGTACTGAGAGCGGATGGATAGATACGTGTTTCGTTGAAGGATCGAAGAATCGATAAATTCAATAAAGATAAACTCATTACGAAGTAACCGCCTCCGTGGTGTAGTGGTTAGAGCATCTGCCCGGAGAGCGGAAGGTCGCGGGTTCGATCCCCGACCGCGTCATACCAAAAGACGTTAAAATATGGTACCTGTTGGTCCCTGCCTGACGCTCGGCATTCATGGGTACAACAAGTTCTGGTCGGCTCGGAGTCATAAAAATGTGTCTGAGTGGGGTATTCATGCTTTACTGCGGTATTGGCTAGCACTATAAAATGAGCTTAAGTCTGGGCTAGTACAAGCAGCTACACATACACATACACACGCATGCACGTCGTCATATGAGCGAAATATTCTCAAGCACGACGTTAAACCCAATTTCACCTCACCTCACCTCACCTCATTACGAAGTGAATACTATTTCAGAAGGATGAAGTTATTACTTTTCCTGTATAGTTTTTGGAGTGCATCATATTGATATGGTGATGCAACATAAAGGTTATATTTTGTCCTCACCATGTGTGTGCGGAAAGTACCACAAGTAACACATAATGATTGCCACCTGGAAAGATTTCATTCAACTGAATTAGAGGATCACATTTAGGCTCCCAATACACAGGTGCAACACGTTTAGTGAATCGCGGCAGTTATGCAAATATGTGAATCCACATAGTCCATGACATACCAAATATCTGCACTTCACACAAAGTAAGGAATTTCAGTGAACCAGGTATCCGTATAGTGACCGTGGTTCCTGTCAGTGGCTGGCGGCAGGTGACGTTAGCTATAGGAGGAGGATGTTCAGTTGATGACCAGTTGTAGCACATCTGGCTGCCCACAAGTATCTCCATGCCGTTGTTTCTGTCCAGATCTGTACAGAAGGAAGAAACATACGATGGAGATAGCTATCCAGCTGACTGGTGACATCATCTATGTTAACCCGAGTCAGTATGAATGTAAAATCACGAAGCTTCCAGTTTCAAGTCCCATTACTTTATTTCTCTCTTTAACTGAACAGATGGGAAAACAATATGGAGAAAGAGAATTTCACACCAAAGTCCTGAGATATTATGTATATCGGCACGAGAAGGTAAAACCTTAAAACTATGAGGCGTCATATCAGTGGTATAAGTAAGAGTCATTAAAAGTCTCAAGTCCAGTTTAAACCTCAAAGTTCTTAAATCCTTTAGAATACATAGATACCTTCGGATTGATGGTGAGACAGAGTAAAGGTTTGATACATCGAAAACAGCTGGACATGTGGAAGTATGTTTTTGATATTATCAATCAGGATGTTTTGGTGTCCAAAAAGTATACATTTTCAATGTTTCACACTTGGAATGTCAATCTAAGGAAATGTAGAATATATTTAATCTCACAGTATGATTACACAATGTCATTCAGAAAGTGTGGCGATGGAGGTAGCATAGTTGTTAAAGCATTCGTTCAGCGCGCCGAAGACCTGGGTTCTATTCCCCAAATGAGTAAAATGGGTGAAACCCATTTCTGGTGTCCCCCGCCGTGATATTGCTGGACTATTGCTAAAAGACGTAAAACCAAACTCACTCACTCACTCATTCAGAAGGTGGTCATGTGTAACGTATGTATATTTGGGATTACACTTTCTCATTGAAGTACTGATTCTGGTACTTTGTTAGTTTGAGTCCTATCCTGTATTTGAACCCTTACCCTCAGACACTCCGGATTGGACTGAAATGACGAAAGTCCCAAAACATTTAAAGTAAATCGTATGTGTTTTTTTAGGTATGGCTAGATTTGTCTACACTGCCAACAGTTGAAGGGATGGTGTAAATCCAGCTAGAGTCTATGTAGGAAGCAAATGTACTTTAAGCCCACATGGTCTCTAGTGTGGTAATCTACCTTCTGTTGTTGGCAATCTATAGCCTGTTTTATGTTGTATTGCTCCCTTTAACAATATCGTTTTATGATAACATGCTACTTTTACTTTAATATATGTGATACACTAGTACGTTTACTGTTCTTCGTCTACAGGCTTTAAATTTCTAGTTTTATTGATGCTTACTGTAATAAGTGATTGTTCTCGTCACGATATTGCTGACATATTGCAGATGTGACGATAGATATTAACTCACTCAATCACTCAAATGACATTTTTAGGTCAATGAATACAACATGCCACGGCGAAAATGTAAACACACGCATAACGTCTGTTCCCTGAACAAATGATGCGGAGTAATGCCTTAATATGCGAAAATATATTATTCCTCAGGTACTATAATTCACGAAATTTTTGCGTCACGATATTTGTGCGACTTTGCCTAATTCTCAAGATATATTGCAACTAAAAGTTCCATCTAAAGTAAATCCAATCACATATTAAAGGTTGACCTTAATCTTGAACTGAGTAGAGTACTTTCGTGTCTATGGAATCAGGGATGTTTCCCTAAAAACAACACACGCTCCATTGGCCAGATAAGCTTAAACCTGTGATAAAAGATCAGTTTAGTCACTAAGTTTATTATAGTAACGACTTGGTACGAAAGGTATAAAGTGCAATCCTAAAACACAATGTTGAACATTACCAGGTTAACGTGGGTGAGTAAGTGAGTTAAATTGTATCGTCACATCGGCAGTATTGACGATGACATATGTATGAAATATATCTTAACGGTATAAAATCCTCTCTCTCTCTCTCCTCCTCCCTCCCTCCCTCCTCTCTCTCTCTCTCTCTCTCTCTCTCTCTCTCTCTCTCTCTCTCTCTCTCTCTCTCTCTCTCGCTCTCTCTCTCTCCCTCTGTGTGTGTATGTGTGTGTGTGTGTTAAAGTTCGGCTAAACTTTTCCCACAATCGCCAGCGGCTGAAGAGATGGTATAAATCAAACTAGGGTCCATGCAGGTAGCAAAGGTATGGTAAGTCCCAATGGTCCATAGTCTGTTGATCTACCTTCAGTTATTGGCGATCTATAGCCTGTTTTATATTGTATCGTCCCCTATAGGTAAACTGTTCTAGACTTAATCACTAGTTTTAAACATATGTCTGTGATAATCTAGTTGTTTTACTGTCCTTCGTTGACATGTGTTAATAATATATTTTTAATCATTATTAATCCATAACTTGTTTTAGTCACGATATGTAACTTAAAATCGTAACTCACTCGATCACTCTGCAGTTAAATCAGGTCAATCATCGGAAGGGTGTGTCAATTCCCGGGATATCCCAGTGTGATTTGCATTTGACCAGAACACTTGTGATAACAGCACATTCAATGCCGTTTCAAACCAAAACGATATGAATAATCTTGATCAATTCCTTTCACCGTCTGACATTACCACCTGTACTTGGTTCATATTTGTAAACTCACTGGCCTCACGTAGATAGAGTCTGATGTGTTGTATCTTCTCTGGAACTGAAGTGTTCAGGTTCACAGTCCAGGTGGGATTTGTCTCATTCTTTGTATGAGTACATGTTGATGTACTGAAAGCCGTGGTGGCACTGCCATCTACACCTCGATCTGCACCCATTCCACCGACATCATTAAATATACTGCTCTGGTTACAAGATCTCCGCAAAGTAATGTTTTCGGAAAATGTGACCAAAAAAATACAGATTAACGAATGAAGGAAACAAATTTTGGGGGGTTTGATTCGGCTGCTGTTTAACGGCGCACTCAGCAATATTCCAGCTATATGGCGAGGGTCTGTAAATAATCGAGTCTGGAGTAGATAATCCAGTTATCAACATCATGCGCATCAATCTACGCAAATAGGAATACGATGACATGTGTCACCCAAATCAGCGAGCCTGACCACCCGATCCCGTAAGTCACCTCTTACGACAAGCATAGGTTGTTGAAGACAAATATTTGTGACATATGGTCCCAGCTATTATTGATAATCATTACCTCATACTCAAGTTTCTGACAGTAGGAACCGAACCATCCTTCCTGACATCTGTCTGGATCGCCGACCTGACTACAGGGAGTAGAGGGGAACACGGCACAGGCAGCTGCACTGGCACAGTGACATTCTGCATCTGTTTAAACATTACCTACTATTGGATAATAACACTGATCATTACTCTTTTATACTGGAATTTATATTTAATTATAAGTTATTTTAAATCATATATTACAGGTATAATTTGTTTCCATGAGTTTTATTAATCCTTCAGGAAACTATGTAGCAGATATTAATAAGTATTTAAGTGAATAAAGTTCCTACCAATGAGGGTCACGGTGACACAGACCACCAACAGTCCCATCCAAGACCAACCCATGTTGGGTACCTAACTGAAAAGACAAAGTAACATAAAGCGTTAACAGTCCTGACCATGCATGTATTATATAATGATTCGCACCAGGGTGTCCTTTAAAGTCTGCTCTTATCATATATCTCATTACATTAACATTGTAGGCTTTCTGGAAAAAAGTCAACAATATGTCAGTAAACAGTGACAAAACTCAACATTCCAATGGAGCCGTTGTAGCTATATAGGCGTTAATACTCCGACATACAACTCAAAATACGAATGTCCTGTGGATATTGTTAAGGGACATTGATCCTTTTAAACATGTTAGCTATAACCCAGAGTGTTGAATAATGACGTCCACATTTGAAACGTTCATATATGCATGTAAGGTTTAAAGCTGCATTAGACATTCACAAGCATTATCACAGAGACTGATCCCAGACACAAGTTTCACATACTGAACCCATGTGACGACTCGAACACATTTCCTCGGATTGAAAACCTTATGTTTTAACCACGAAGCTACCACTTCCATCGCCAATGGTCAGATGCTTTGGTGACGACATTCTAAAGACATTCTAAAGACGGCGGCGGGAACGAACCTAAACCAGAGTATAAGGATATATAAGGTCGAAACCAGTGAATAACCTATCCGGGTATGATGAACGTACGTCGTCAAAAGCATGCAATGCAGTTAAAGCTGTTGTTCGCCTGTTTATGAATAAATGTCTCTGGGTGATATGAATGCGCTTTCAAAGCACAGTTGAATGGTACTGACTAACAGTAACCGTGTATTCATATGGCATTGCATAGAGGAGGAACGTATTCCCCTTAGTATTTATTAACAACATGCAGCAAGTGTACGAGATGAGTTCCAAGAAAAGACTCTGTAAAGCTTTATTCATGAAATAAGGATTTTGTCAGGCCCTTATCTCTCTCCGCTAGTGTGTATACCACTGTTTGATCCCCCAGTTAACTTCCTGGTCACTATGACCGCGAACCAACACTTTCCTGATCATGTGACACTATTGTGATCGCCCTATATCATGTTCACCTCGACCAAACAGTTTAATGTGAATCGCCTATGAGCTCTTTGGTCTTCGTGATGAAAGCTTGTTGGGCCTGTTGTACCCATTGTTCTATGTACTTTTTTTCTCGGTTTCGCTGACGGCAGTCTTACGAGACTTGGACCGAATCTCTTGTTTCATTCTGTGATATTTTGAGAGTTCAGAGAGGACCAAACGAAACTCCTCCTCGGAGACTTTACTGTCAGTGAGTGCCGTGGAGATATGGTCGCTTACCGTGTTCAGGTTTGCTTCAGCTAGAACCCTGATCTCGTCGTGCTTCCGCGCTTTATGCTGCAGTCTGCAGGATGCAAACTTAAACACCAACCCCATCAGCCCTGACACCCCAGCTGTTATTTCAATGCCCAGTACTATGGATGCGGCTACGATGGTGGCCAACAAACCGACACCTACCACCCCTAGTCCCATGCTGGTTGTCATAAGGGCAGTATCGGCATTGAAAGCTCTATGGTACTTCTTGCATAACACTGCCCGTCTGTCGCGGTCTTGTTCTAGTTGACGTTTTATGTCGCATAACTGCCTAAAGCGGAACTTGTCTACAGTTTCCAGTGTCGTGGCTACTTCCTCTACGACTGGGTACAGCCCCATCCTGTGTATATAATATATTCTATGAAATATATTTTAATTGTGTGCTATTTAATCCTTGTACTATGTATTTGAGGCTTATAAGGTTTCGATCCCTGTGTAGGGAAATAGGTGAGAGGCTAATAGGTAACTCTGCGCCCACATGAACCCCATTGGGGCTTACTAAGGGGTCTATATAACCCGTTGAGGGGTCCGGTGGTATGACGATACGTTAACGTCGGTTACTGGCCAGGAGACTCAAGTGTATTGTCACCCTGGGTAAAAGTTTTAGTTCTGTACTATAAGGGTTTATCCCGAGATGGACTTCTATGGCGAGTGTTGAGCCTGGTTTCACAGTCATAAGACCCAATTAGGAATCGGGGACGTCAAACCTTAACTCGTCCTTCCAGCCTGAAACTAACATGTTGGTCGTGTGATCCGGTGTTAGCTGAGCACTTATACCAGGCCCCGGAATGAAAGCCCCAAGCAAGATACCGTTGTTCCTAATTTCGGACACATACCTATCTTTGTGTGAGGGTCATGTTGATCAACCATTTGGGCTCTCTAAAGTCGTCTGCCAGAGGCATCCGCACGTACACGTCGCCTCTTAAACGCAGGAGGTACGAGGTGCCGTTCACGCCGGGCTGATCGAGTCCCTCTGTGTCTCCTAGGTCCCTGAGTGTGATGTTGGGTCGATGATCGGACATTCCCGCCCGCTTATACACCTTGTCTTTCAAGTGTAGGACATACAAGGTGTCTTCCTCGCCAGGCAGATCGAACCCCTCCGTGTCCCCTAGGTCGTTAAGCGTGATGTTGGGCCGATGACTGGTCATTGCTATATTACTATCACAAGACAGTTTCCAACTGTTTTTCTGATAACTTCTCAGGGGTGCACTTCAACCCCATGAGGTGTATGTTATCGGGTAGGAATATCTTGGTGAGTGATATCGTGTCTTCAACGGTCACGGTGACCCCCTGCAGACTGGTGTGGGAGCCGACACCCACCTGCATGTAAACAGTGCAAACCTTATACTGGTGTCGTTTCACCCACCGGAGTTTGATCCCCCTAACGACTTCAACTTCGAGCTGTGGTTCACCTAGGTAGACTCGGATGACCAGCCTGGAGTTTGCTGGTAGACTCCTCAGGATGTTGACCACGCCTTCGAATTCAGACACCACCTGCAATGCCACGATTTGCGCCCCGGGCTTACTCAATAGCATGTGGGCTGCCATACTCGAGAGTTGGCTGATGATTACACTATGCCTCTGCGCCGGGACGTAAGACACGAGCAGGGTTCCGTTGTTCACGACTTTGTTTAGGTAGTTGTCTTTATTCTCCGTGAACACGTAGGGGGAGCCGAGACTAATGTTGAGAAACCAATCCACTCGAGAGGGTAACAACACCCACTTGTCGTCATCGGTAAAGACGAGCGTATATGGCTTGTTTCAAGCAACGGTCGTGCTCTCAACGTCTTCTAAATCAAACAGTTTGCCCCCGAACGATGGGTATACCGACCATCTATCTATGCCCTCTACTGCGGAGTCGTTGAACCAGCGTGTGTCCCCGAGGTCGGAGATCCCTACATTGACGCATCTCTTCACCCTTCCGTGCCCTTGTGCGCTAGTCATCTTATGTGCAGCATTATGCTGAGGTATCCTATATTAACAGGATTATGCTTTATATCTTACTCCGGGATAGTGCCCCGAGTTAACCTCTTGTACTGCCGTGGTGAAAACGACTCGGTTCTGCCATCGTTGTACTTCTCCGTCTTCACCGGTACGGCTCTCAACACCGTGGAAGGGTTGCCCCCTTGAATGTTGTCCGTCGTGCTCAGTTGGCCGAGATGAATGCACAGCTCGTGATACGGGACTAGGTCGGGTAACTCTCTACCTGTGACCGCCATTGTGGGTTTTATCTCGTCCAGTGGCAGCCCGAGTGTCCTCGCCAATGGTCGGCAGGGCCTCAAAGGCCTTTACTCGGTTGTTCCTAAACAAGACCGTGCCGTTTGAGTCGTTTATCTTGATTTCTGCTCCCACGGGCTCGAAGACTTCATCGCTTAACGAGATACCGCTGTAGTAGCCGCCAGTTATGTGATTGCAGACGCCACTGACGAACAGCTTGTTGTTGCCATCGCTGATGTTGGTCCACCGCGGCAGGTAGGTGATATCGCAGAGTGCGACTTCGAGGTGACCCGAAGTGTTATCGATCGTGTGCAGCAGCTGAATGGCCTCACCGCCCGTTATCCCTTGAAGTGTCACGAACATATTAGAGTATATGTACCATAATATAATACTTTTAAAATGTACACCCCGGGAGTGTTTTACCCTAAGATGGACATAGACTTCACGCACATGAAGATCTTGGTCGACGTGGCCGGATTGCACTTCGGAGCCCCGTACGATGGACGGGCCTACGAATGCCTTTGCAATGAATTCGAACTAGACCCGAAGACAGATTGGTGTTTGCGGGACCGAACCATTGGTTGGGTATCCGATCGTTCGAACATGCGTGTGGGCACTGCCAGGAAAAGCGATAGTGGCAAGTGCTTTCCAACATCCTCGGTAAGGGGACTGCTTACGACGCTCAGAAACAGTTCGTTGTTAACGTTAAGGATGCTATCAATGCTCCAGTTGATCTACCGAGTGCTATCCGACGCTACCAAGACGTGTTGGAATATGCCTGGTCGAAAGTCGACAACGTGTTCGACGTGTGTCTGTACATGGCTCCGAGTGATATGCAACTGAGAGTAAAAAAAGTGGTGGAAACGAAATAGTCATAGCCACGGCCGACTAGAATTTGGGTTTCAATGCAGGCATCAACGTGAGTCACGTCCCACCTCCCATGGGTGAAACGGGTATAGTGGTGTCACCCCCGAAGCCCAGGGTTCAACCCACACCACCACAGCATATCAGCCATAGAACAGCGCTGGTGGTAGGGGGGATCGCGGTCGGCTTGGGTCTCATTTGGTTAAAAATTCCTTAGCCGCGATGTACACCAGCCCCGCCACGGCAACGATGGCTACCCACAGGTTTTGTCAGAGCCACGTGACAGTTTTAGCCAGCACAATCATCAGCCACAAGACGATGCTACCCAAGATTCCTGGAAGCGCTTCGGCAGCCTTACCCGCGAGTTTAGCCAGCGCCTCCCCGAGGGATTTCAGGTGTCTTCTCACCTAGTCTCTGACGTCGCCACCACTGGGGGGTGTTGGGGGTGTGGTGGTACCCCCACTTAGTGATACGACCAGGGTTGATATGACGAAACCCAATGCTGTCAGAATGCTGGCGATGGTGATCCCTTGCTCTCGGAAGAGGATTCGGATCCTGTCAGCTAGCCTGGTGTCCTGGTAGAGGACTCGATCGATCGTTTCCCGCACGCGGCTGATCTGGGATC